TTCATGTATGATTGTGGGCAAATAATTGAAAACCCATCCCATTGAATTTGCTCCATTCTCATTTCCTTAAGAGAATGTGATAGCAGTATGTGATAAGTCTGAAAGAAGACAAAATTATTACTATGAATGTATCAATGGATATGGACGTGGCAATAGACGAAATTATAATCGTCATCATATGTGGTAATGAGAACAATAAGGATTCTCAAAATAATATTTCACTCTGTGAAAAATATTTGTCATCGATTTGACATGAGATTTTGTAAAGCACATATAGATGATTATGGTCCATTCATGATGTGAATGTGACAACATCTGATTTATGAATACATATTCATTCTTCAAAGAATATGAACGTGCTAGTGGTAGTGAATATACCGCACTCACCTCAAAAAGGAGGTTTGAGATGATATAAGAAAATAATGTCATTATTATGGCATGAATGGTCATTGGTCACGTACCTATTGTACGCCAAAATATTTTGCCATTGTGATTGTTAAAAGACAACGGTAATGCAAGAAACAGATTTTGCATATAATTTTGACCATAACCATAATGGTATAACTTTCTCTTTAAAAGAGATATTCACCATATAGGTGTTGATGAATATGTGGTACTACAAATTTAATTGAGAACTCTGCAAGAGCCAATTATACTATTTTGGAGAAACACAATTAACTACCAATAAGGTATTATGTTGTAGTAAGTCTCAAAGAAACTTATTCAGTTTCCAAAGCATACGCGAACGCGGTTGATTATATTGAGACTATAAATAAAGGAAAGATTTAATATCTTCTATTACTACAACTTGTAGCGGGGTAATATGTATGTGAAAAGCTACCCGCTTTATTCTCCAATTTGTACTACATAAACAAAAGAACACCACAATGAAGTGGATATTTATTGATATAAAAACCCATATCATAATAAACTTGGAGTTTATTCATAATTGCACACATCATGGTGTAAACCTGAAGTTTATCAATATTGATAATTTATCCAGTTGGCATAATTGGTTTAGCCATGTTAATTCAAGTATGATGTGCAAAAATAAAAGAGAATTCACATGGGTAAATATTAAAGAACTATAAAGTTCTTTACGAATTCTCTTACATTGCATGTTCTCATTAATTAATATACCAACTAAGATTGGGTTTGAATCCCATGAATGCTGGAAATATCAAATGTGAATATGGGTCCATTCACCTGCCATGTATACCACATAAGATGCATCTATGAAATGGTTACATGTGCGATTATTATTAACCCGCAACATGGTATTTGCGAGGTAACTTGCTCAATAATTTGATTTAGAGCTTAATTTCCAGATTTTTTTTATTCAAGATAGTTCATCTTGATAAGTTGGTTTACATCACAGTTGGTTTAGCAAGATGATTTATTAAGTGCCTCCACTTAATAGCTAAACTATTGCTTATGAGAACAAAGTAATATATATCTGTTTGATATACGTTATATACGAAAGTATATTATTTTCTCCCCTCAAAATGGTTCAGGATCAGGAACCAAATAATTCCATCTTATTATTATTGATGTGCGGTGTATATTTTGATTAACATCATAACGCACAAATATGGATTTCCAAAGTTGAGGAAGTAAGTTAGTTTTTCTAACATGAGGGGGAGACATGATAAACAGTTGAGGAAAAGTTACGTGGAATGAATTATGATTTGTACATCTAGATCCTCGAATAAAATAATATGAACTTGAAGTTCATAAAAGGATAATTCATGTGCAATTTATTGCAAAGTATGCTAGACGCATTTGCTGACCCAAAGAAAGTAACTATATTCTCAATGCAAATGCTCCTATTAAGTCCTAGAAGGACAAAGTTTGTGGTACACTTAAAGCATATAGACAAATCGGTTTCAAATAAAATTCTTGATAAAGAAGATGAACAAATGATCTAAATGATCATAACAAAAGGAGGCAAGTGATCTAGAAGATCACGTGACATAACACTTCATAAAATCTCAAGAGAGATTCAAGTACCTGAATATATGAATGAAGAGATCTCTATGTTATGTCTTTATGAAAAAATATTGAAACTGATATAAAATGTTTGTCGACGACATTTATGATAGTGCTAAGTATAGATGAGGATCTTAAGTCTGTCGCTTACATACACAAAAATATTGGCCAAATGAAAGAGACACAATTCAAATAGAATTGGTTTCATATGAAAGACATGTAGTTTTGAACATGTAGTTCAAACACTTGAAAGTATAAGTCAATTTTCGATATCTTATATGTCTAGCATGACATGAAAATTTGATATGCATCTAAAGTCTATTATATGGCTTATATGACTTAACTTATTCGACAATCCATGAAGGATTTAAATTGCTTAAAGCATATAGAATTCATGGTCATGAAGTACTATATCCTAAATGCAATTTGTGCACATATGTATCTTACTATAACTATAAGCATGATAATATGATAGCAAGAGTTTTCACCCCTATGTGAAGATATTGAAATGATGATTCCAACAAGATCATATGAAGACAATACATCTATCAGGGATGATGATTTCAAGGTGAAACAAATTCGTTGAAGTTAATATGGCTGATATTGTTTATCAAATATCTATCAACGATCTTTTGAAGATGGTGCACAAGATTGGAATGCAAATGCTTAAGGATGTGAATTGATGCTCTCTTCAGGGGGAGTTAATACGCGTTGTACTCTTTTTCCCTTACAAGGTTTTGTCCCACTGGGTTTTCCTTGCAAGGTTTTTAACGAGGCAACCAAAAGGCGTATTGTTAGATATGTGTACTCTTTTTCCTTCTCTAGAAGTTTTTTTCCCACTGGGTTTTATTTTAGTTAAGGTTTTAACGAGGCACATTATCTGTTGAATAGACATTCAAGGGGGAGTGTTATAAATAGAATTTTATTTATGGTGAATGTCTATATTTAGAGAGATTCTAGGGTTTATTACTTGGTGGCTAAGTCACCATCTCCCTATAAATAGAGGGTTCTATTCTATTGTAATTCATCCCAAATCAATAAGAATTCTCTCCCTCTCTCTCTTTCTCTGCAATATTGCTCTTGTCCTTTTATTGTTTCATAACAGATTGATTATTTTCTAACTAGAATATTCGCGAAGAGTGCTTTGTACAATTTTTTATTTATTTTCAAAGCTCGATTTGAAATTTTAACCGATTAGAAATGAAAAAAATCTCATTTATCCCATTACACTTGTTTAAATATGATTGCATCATTTGAACTTAATAATTGCATCTGCCTTTGCTATACCAAAGAGAAGTCACTCTCACATTCACTTTCGGCAAAAACGATTATTCTAGCTGGCTGGGTGTTTGGCCCACCTTATACATTATGTTCAACATTCACTTATGAATGCTACGATACTTATGTCTATCTAATCCCCCCCCCCCCCTACCCCCCTTTTTTTTTTTGCATGTGGGGAGATTTTATAAAATACATTGAATTTCATTTGACTTTAATTTAGAATTTAACGTAAACTTAACTTATTTTAATCTAATTTGATTTCTGTATGTGAACTGAGTTGATTCCTTTCAAACCAAATGTGTTGTTGTTGTTGTTGTTATTTCACTTTCAGTGTCAAACAAATTACCCTTAAGATGCACAATTAGAGAAGTATTGTAACGATTTGATGTTTATATTCAAAGCTCGCGCACATATTATGACAATTCATTATCTTGGAGAGAAAAAAATTATTGTTGAGGTTAAGGTATTAATTAACTTGCACGTAGGAATCTACTTATTCCATTTTGGACTTTTATACACACACTTATGTAATAAAAGTAAAATTGTTGCACTTGTTATATATAATGCAGGCGTGGAAAATCAACAAAAATATGACAAATACCTAATATTTCAGTTAGGGAGTTGATAGTAAGAGGGTGGATTGGAATGAGGAGAGCAACTTAGCTTTGTGATTGTGATGGTTTGTGATTATACTACACAAGTTTAGTTATGGATTTTAGCTTCTTAGTCTGACTAAAGTAATCATTATTAGGGCCTAGTTTAGATAAAGCACCCCTTATCGCCCTACGGCATCTGGTTAGGACACAAAGTTTATTCTATTCCTAAAATAGCGAATTCTTTACCAGTATTCCCTTTCAAAGACAGAGCACTCGTGGCACAAACTTGGCCTTTTGCCTTAGAAAGAGTTAAAACCATTTGCTTGTAATACAGAGATAAGGATCATCAGTACATTTACGTGTATAGATTATAAAGAAAGACAATTGATTAAAAAACTTAATTAATAAAGCCATAAGGGATCTCATGTATAAAATGGGTAAAGAAACAAAAAGTATGCAAATTCTGTTGTTTGATATAATGACTTTAAACGTCGAAGCATTTGTTGTATCATTTGCATAATTAAGAAATTCGGAAAATCATATTCTAGTTTTATCATATGTTCACGAGGAATGCATTCTTTGCAATGCATTTTTATTTAATAAAAAACAATTCAGCTTTTTATCATAAATTGTTGATATCAAAATATCAAATATATTGCAAGAGAATGATGCTCGGTTCCTTCTATAAACCTCGAAAAAGAATAAATTCAATTCAATAAAGGGAAAAAACAAAATAAAAAAGATAACAAATTCGAAATGGGATATTCTCAGAACATGTTATTTTTAACCAAGATATTCCAGACTTTTCCAAGTGCATGGACCAAAGGGAGACTAGCAAACAATTTGCACAATATTATTCCATATTAATAGTGATGAAAATATATATTCCATAATGGTAGAGCACTTTGCCTCCATTCATTTTTCTTTTATTTAATTATAATTATTTTCATTTTTCAATTGGGCCGGTTGTAGTATTTGCAAAGTGGGACCCGAGTTAATATATTCTAAGCAAATCAGACAACTCCTTCATTTATAACCCTGCAAGTTTAAAAGGTCGGAGTATATTGTATTTTATTTCATAAAGCAAAATAAAGAAAAATAAAAAAATATAAAGAAAACCAAAATAGCAGAGGAGGAGAAACATTCACTGGCACCCATAAAAACCAAATTTATCTTTCAGCTTCCCCACTTCTCTCCATTGATAACACCCGTTCCTTCTTTTTTCATCTCTCTAAAAATCTCCAATAATTTCTTTCTTTTTCATTCATTTAAACCCATTGTGCCTACATTGGTTGAAAGTTTTCCATAAAAATCTTCGTTTTATTTGTCATAAAATTGTACGCTCAATTACTACCTATTGTTGAATTATGGGAAGGAAGAATAGAGGAACAACGAAAGGAAGAGTCTCAAGAATTGGAAGCTATGCTATTGCCGAACCCAATTCAATTTCTTGTACCACTTTTAATATTCTCGCACCCATTTATAAAAGACTCAATCTTGAGGTAGTTTTTTTTTTCTGTTTCTATTGCCATTATTGTCTGCTTTTGTTAGGTTTAAGGATCTGTTAATGAGTATTTTTCTTCTTTTTGGGTTTGTTCTAGGACCAGAGTTGCAGAGAAAGCGATTACAGGGCGAATTGGTTGAGCAGGAATCATAGGATATTGGATTGGTTGTTGTACGAGAGGTCTTCCATTATGTGTCTTCAGGTTTAAAGTTTTAACCCTTTTTTGTATGAAATTGGATCTCTCTTTGTCTTTATGCCTTTTTTTTTTTGCTTAAAAATAAAAGGTAAAGTGTTTGATGATATTAAAGGTTCTATTAAATTGGTTATAGGAATTCTGGGTTGGGAATGAAGAGCTTGTTGGTATATATGACAAGAGGCTAGGAGATGCTGGATATATTAATTTCAAGCTTGCTCGAACCAATAATCGTGGTGATGGTAATCCTCCTCCCTTTTTCCTTCTAATTATATTCGGTAAAAACTTACCCGCACTTGTGTTTACCACCAGAAAATATTTAGAAAAACTTTTCCTTTTTCCCTGTTCAGTTTGAGGAATTCCTCCAACCCCCCCCCCCTCCCCCAAACCCCAATCCCAACCCCACCCCCCGGCTCTAACTATTGGAACAACATATAATGAATGGAGTTCTAAAGAATAGGTGCAAATACAAAAAATATAAGAAAACTGTTCCTACTTCAATGTGTAATTGAAGGAACTTGTATGTTTGGTGGCATTGATTGTCTTCCCTGTTTCTTGACAATAATGTCAATGGGATTGGTTAATCTGTCCATTCTCCTACTTTTTAATTGCTTTTCTAGATCAAGTAAACAAATGAAAGTGCTTTTTGTAAAAGAAATAAATTGTTGTTTAGATTCTTGTCAACTATGTATTGAACAGGTCAGAATTTGTTGAACTGCCTGAAAAAATGTACTGATGATTTACTTATCAAAAAATAAAAAAACAGTGATGAGTTTGGGAAAGTTGGAAAACATCTTAAGGTCTGTTGTGTTCTGAAGGGAAACTTGATATCATATCATGTCATTTACCTCAGAGAAAGCAGGAACAGCTATCTCTGATTCCTCACAAAATCGATACTTTTCAGTAGGAGAGCCAGTTTTTTAATTTGTTGATATAAATTTCTGTTGACCTCTACGGAAAGGACATAGTATTGCCGTAGGTGTTAGCTATGTTATGTGGTATCTTAATTCATAATGATTCATTTTTGAATTGCTTCATTTTTCGCCTCATTCAGGTCTGCTGACCGCCGTTCATAAGGACTACTTCAGGGTTATAGCCCACAGAGAGCTGCTTTTCAATGATTTTGGAGACCGTGTTGCTCAACTATTGCATGTTGAACTAATTGCACCTTATGCACAATGTCGAAACAATAACGTTCGGCAAGAAATGCTGATAGTGAACACACACCTTTTGTTTCCTCATGATTCAAGTTTGTCCTTGGAAAGACTGCGGCAGGTACATTAATCTTTATATGGTACTCTTGCTCCGCAGAAGAGTGAAAATCTAATGCAAAAAATTTTCATACCTTTTTCTTGGTTTAACCTTTCACCTGTATCATGGTTCTCTTGAACAGGTCTACAAGATATTGCAATATGTGGAATCATATCAGAAAGAAAATAAGCTTAATCCCTTGCCAATTATACTGTGCGGGTAATTATTCAGAAACCTTTTTTTGGGGGCTCTGTTGGATATCTCCGTTACTGGTAGATTTTGCTAATTTTAGTTGTATACTTTTTAATATTGAAGTGACTGGAATGGAAGCAAGCGTGGCCATGTTTACAAATTCCTCAGATCTCAAGGATTTGTATCATCATATGATACTGCTCACCAATACACTGATGCTGATGCACACAAGGTCAGTTACCTCTCATTGTTTTTGCTCCTCTTGGCCCCCGCGGCTGCAGGTTTCTTTTGATGTTGATGCCTTTTTCTATTATGCAGTGGGTGAGCCACCGTAACCACCGTGGGAACATCTGTGGTGTGGATTTTATATGGCTTTTAAATCCAAATAGCTACAGGAAATTGCTGAAAACAAGTTGGGGAAATGTAATTTTTGGAATGTTCAAGGTAAACATAACATTCTTATTTTATTTAGCAGCTTCCCTTGTGCATTCTTTCCCCATATTTTGAAATCATGTTTGAAAAGCAATCTGGTTCGGTTAGAATAGGAAGCTGGAAGTTGATACTGATTCCTTTTGTTCAAACTTGTTGCTCTATGATGTTGCTGAGCAATTGCCAATTTTGAGATCTTTTCTTTGCTTACCATCACTATGATAGCATATCTACAAGTCCATTCCAATTTAATGTAAAAAAAAATTGGGAAGGGCTTTTAGTGTGGGGTTTTCTCTGAGTTCTTTATTTAGCTAAGTGTGCAGAAGTAAAATAGATTAGGTCCTGGTCCCTGGTCCCTGGTCCACCTTACTTTGCACCTGAACTTTTGTGTGGCATGCTCTTATTGTTTTTTTCTCCTATCGTACAACGATAACTACTACTATGCGTCAATCCTAAGCAAGTTGGGATTAGCTATATGAATCCTCACTGACCGTGTCTCTCCATTTATGCAAATCTCGGACCAATATTGTACCATACTAAACATAAAAAGTAGTAAAAAAAATGAAAAGTACTAGAGATTTTCTATATTTTCTAGTGGCATATAAAATTCTTATAAGACTAAAAGACTCCTAGAAAACATGAGACCTAAAATAAATACAAACATGACTGAAACACACTTCCGACTAATTTGTATCATCTATATAGATCTTTTTCTTCCATTGTGCCCTATTTTTTGCTAAGTTTGCATGGATCCCAAGAGATTATATGTCTTTCGGGATAAACTTCTTTCCGTGTGATTATGTCTACCTCGTCCCCACACCATGATTCACTATGGTTTCACACCTATGGACTGATGCATCTGGAGGTTGATGCAGAACATGACTGAACCTTCTCAGGCGACCTTTTCTTATTTTATCCTTGATGTGTGTTGCTTGCACGTTTTGCCAAATTTGATCATTTTTAATCTTGTCTAATCTTGTATGACCTCATATCTATCTTAACATTGGCATCTCTGCGACACTCATCTTGTGAATGACTTTAATGGTCCAGCGTTCACTCCCATATAATATTGCTCGTCCTATAATTGTTCTATGCAACTTATTTTTGACTTTGGTAGGCATCCTTTTTCACATAACACCCCAACAATACTCTTCGTTTCAACCATCCTATTTTGATTCTATGTGTAACTTCTCTACCTCTCAAACCATTTTCTTGGAACATCAAGCCTAAATATCTAATTTCACTCTTTCTATTGTAAATGAATGAAATATCTCCGTTTTATATGCTCTGATTATTTGTTGTGTAGAAGGTACTGATCTAACTATTCCTTCAATTTCAGTATCAACTTCGCCGAGCCTCGTTGACTGAGAATGATGCGTTTGCTTTCCTCAAAGCTGACAGTGATGGTGATTACATTACGTATGCTGGGTTTTGTGAAGCGCTCCGTCAGGTAACTTTTAACTCATGAATTCAAACATCTCTCTACTTTTTGTAGGTGTTGCGCACATGTGGAGAGAAATGGATTGAACCTCCCAAGGGTTCTCTGTTATCTCTATCTCTATTCAATCTTGTGAAATGATGCTAAACGTTTGTACCCTGACCCCACAGCTTAATCTGATTGGACATTGCTATGGGCTGAGTGCTGAGGAAATAAAGGATTTGTGGTTGCAAGCAGACATTGATGGAAATGGAGTTCTTGATTACAGTGAATTTCAGGTATTGATGCTTAATGCTTTAGAGATTCTACTTATTGTTTTTGTGCTTGAGTTATTTCTTATCTGTATATCTATGTACATAATTCACAAGTTGGTTTATTGTAAAACTGCAACAAGACTGTTTTACTGTTAGCTTGAAGGTGCTTTAGCTGATCTCAGGGTTGATTTAAGAGCATAATCATCCTACTAATTATGTATTTGTTTTATCGGTGTACTTAGTATTACTTTTAGCATCAACCAGTCTACATTTGCTTGGCTTTCTTTCGCACTAGATTTTGGCAGCCATTTATCTTCAATGTAGGGACAGAATTTATCTATAATCAAACAACTTGCAAAAACTGACAATTAATTTATGTATCTTTAATCAAATAGCAGCAGCGGGTATGGAATCCTACATGGTCAGAGCAAAGAGATGGAATAAGCGATGAGGCATCGGACGACGACGTTGTTAGTGATACCGAAGAAACAATTGGTTTTAGTGTCAAGAATGCAGTTCTCTTCCCCACAGAAGTTGAGAAAGGAACATGGCCTGAAGATTATTCACTTTCTGATCACGCCAAACTCACTGTGGTATTTTCACCTGTAAGAATGTTATGCTGTCAATTGTCCCGATAGTTTTTTGAATGTTGATTGCCTTGAACTGAAATCTTAAGTAGAAAAGGCCTGAGGAATGTAGCCAGACTACAAGATTCTCAAACTGCTGCCTGAGTTCTCGACTGGAGAGACTTATGCTTGGTTCCCAACTGAACTCTGATAAAGATTATAATACCATCTTGAGGCACAGATAGGGATGCTAAGTATTATAGTACAAGTGGTGCCCGCTCCTTCCGAGTATTTGGTAAAGTGGTGTCTGATGCCTGTATCTTCCAGTTCATTCAAAGTGGCTGTCTGCATCGATGAAGACCTACTCTGACTTTCGAGCATAATGGGGTTCATATCTTCATATCCTCTTGTTACCTCTACCTGTTCCATGCTGGTATTTTAAGGTAGAGGTAGAAGTATATATAGAGGAAGCAGGACGTGTAAATATTTTGCTAATGAAAGATGTAGCTTAGTAACAATCCTCTTTGTATTCGACTGAGCATTTTGACTGCTGCAATGTTCAGTCTGATAATTGCATTGTGTATTACAGTTGCAACAACTACTCAAGTTGCTGAAACAGTAACAAAGAAAAACATTGCGTGTGCACTTGGTTCTTTTTATTGATGCATTTCCTTCCACGGAAAAATTACTTTCTGCAGATAATTATATACTAGCATTTGTTAATTGGAAATAACTGGAAATAATTAAAAAGTGAAAAACAGCTGCTGACTTAGAAGATAAAAAGAAGAAAAAGATACAGAACCATTTGCCAATCGAATTGGTAAGATATGCAAAAGAAAAGAGTGATTATTGTTATAAAATAAAGATTTTAAAGTAAATAAACCGAAGACAAGTAGAGAGAGATATTTTATTCAATTTCAAACTAGTGTACATAATGAACTGAAATCTTCTCTATTTATAGAAGAAAGGAAGCTGATGTGTAAGCTGCTACTGCAAGCTGCTTGTAAGTTGCTTGTAAGCTGCTATTGCAAGCTGCTGTGTAAACTGCTTGTAAGCTGCTACTGTCCCAGATATAGATAATCTTCTACTGGGGTAATATTTATCCATAACGGAGTACCGAAATGATAAGCTTCTTCAGGAGGCTTATTTCCAATAGAGTACTAAATAGACAAACATATTTACGGCGGAGTCCCATATGGATAAGCTTCTTCAGGAAGCTTATTTACAACGGAGTACTAAATGAACATCCATAATATAATATATGTTTATAACACTCCCCCTTGGATGTTCATTGTGCCTCATTAAAAACCTTTAAGGAAAACCCCATGGGGAAAAAAACCTTAGTAAGGAAAAAAGAGAACATCGCTTATTTTACTCCCCCTGATGAAAATCTTGTTTCAAATATTCGAGTCAGCATTCCAATTCTTGTATACCATCTTCTCAAAAGTTGAATTTGTAGAAAATATTATCCACCACTATTTCATATCGATTTAAATTAATCTCATCAAACCAAGAAGCTGCTGCAAGTCCTTTCATTGAGTTGCTTCCAACCTGCCTGCATCAGCTGCTTGTAGAAAACTTCAATGGAGTATTAAATGGATATTCTTCTTCGGGAAGATTATCTACAGTGGAGTAATAAATGGACATCCACAGTAATATTTTCATAACACTCCCCCTTGGATGTTCATTATTATGTGCCTCGTTAAAACCTTACTAAGAAAAACCCCGTGGGAAAAAATTCTAGTTAAGGAAAAAGAGTACACTATACATTGCAAGCTGCCTCATGAAAAACCTTACCAGGAAAAACTCAGTGGGAAAAAAACCTGAGCAAGGGAAAAAGAGTACAGTGCATACTTTACTCCCCCTGATAAAGACTTGGGTATTTCAGGTTCAAGGAGTTCATCATCCAGAAGGACAAATCCTTATTCACTTCAAGTGATCGAACAACCATTGGTGTACTCAATGGGTGCGCTTTGTCCATGTAAAAGCGTTTTAAGGCCCTTTCTGTATAGACAGATTGATGGATAAAGATCCTGTCTGCTAAATGTTCAATTTGCAGACCAAGACAAAGTTTTGTCTTTCCAAGATCTTTCGTCTCAAATTCTTTCTTAAGATATTCAATTGCGTTTTGGAGCTCTTCTGGAGTTCCAACAAGATTTATGTCATCAACATAAACAGCAAGTATATCAAATTCTAAATACATGGACAAATAACATCATTTATGTAACCTTCTTTTAGCAAAGGTTCACTGAGGCGAAAATACCACATGCGCCCAGATTGCTTTAAACCGTACAAAGATCTTTGTAATTTGATTGAATACGTTTCCCAAGATTTTGAATTTGCTTCAGGCATTTTAAATCCTTCAGGGATCTTCATATAGAAATAATCAAATGAGTCATATAAGTTATGAATTACATTTAAATAGCATGACATCTTCAGGTGTCTGGACTACAGGTCCGATCCTCACAATCATTTACAATATTGTATCAAATATATCGTCGACGATCATTTTGTATCGGTTCCTAAGCGACATAACTTGTTGAGATCTCATCACTTTCTTTATTTTCAAGTACCTGAACTTCTTCTGGAATTTCATGAAATGTTATGTCGTGGGCTCTTTTAGAGCTCATTTCCTCCTCATTATGATCATTAGCTCCTTATCATTTTTCAAGGATTGTTACCTTTGGAACCGATTGGTCTACCACGCTTCATGCGTACAGTAAACTATATCCTTCAGGGACTTTAATTTTAATTGGAGCATTTGCAGCTGAAATATGATATTAAATTTTGGATCAGCAAATGCTTCTGGCATTTGACTTAAATCGAATGATAATTCGATTCATATAGCATATTTTTCAGCTGTTTATTCCATCCCCCAAATGCTAGAAAAACTAACATATATCCCCAATCTTCTTTGGGAAATATATCTTTGTGCATTGTGGTAGAGAAATTAATCATATACCACACATCAAAAGATAGTAAAAATATTTTGGTTCTGATCCTAAACCAATTGTGAGGGGAGGACCTATCATATATTGTTGGTCTGATGCATACAAGTGCTGTTATATGCAATTTAGAGAATCTTAGACCAACACATGAAGCTTTGTTCTCATAAGCAATGGTTTAGCCATAGGTATTCAATGCTAAACCAGCTTGGATATAAACCAACATTATCAAGATGAACTGTCTTGATTTCATAATTGTGACGACCCGACCCGTCGTCTCATGTATTACAGCCTCGTTTCCCCCATTTACTGCTTCTTCATGTTTCATTATCAGCAACGAGTGAGTTATAGTTGAATTGAATTGGTTTGGATAGGAAATGAGACACTTAGTCTCCTTAAGGAGAGTTTGGTTTGGAATAGTCAACCGGATGTTGACTTGTGAGTTAGAGGGCTCGGAATGGGTTTTCGACGATTCGGTTAGCTTCGGGGAATAATTTGTGACTTAGGAATGCGATCGGAATTGAATTTGGAGGTCCGATGTGGAATTAGGCCTGAATTGGCGAAGTTTGAATTTTGGCGAAATCCGGTTGATAGGTGAGATTTTGATCCGAGGGTCGGAATGGAGTTCCGAGAGTTGCAGTAGCTCCGTTAGGTGATTTTGGATATGTGTGCAAAGTTTCAGGCCATTCGGAGGTGGTTAGGTCGGGTTTTTGATCGAATGTGCAATTCGGAAGTTTTTAAGAAACTTAGGCTTTGATTTGAGGATAATTGAGGATTTTGATGTTAACGATAGTGTTTTGATGGTTCGGGCGAGTTTGAATAAGGTAATAGATCATGTATGTTCTTTTGGTTGAGGTCCCGGGGGCCTCGGGGTGAATTCGGGTGGTTAAACGGAGAATTCAGAGTTTGTTGCATGTTTGAAGTTTGTTGGTTCTGTCATTTCCGCATCTGCGAAAAAGGGACCGCATAAGCGGTTCCGCAGATGCGGTGTATTGGTCGCAGAAGCGGTCCTTGAGGGACTAGGGTTTTCCGCAGAAGCGGGCGTGGATCCGCAAATGCGGCGACCGCAGAAGCGGTTCTAGACCGCATAAGCGGTCCGGGGGAATTTAAGTGAGATCGCAGAAGCGATCGTTTGGTCGCATACGCGGTGACCGCAGGTGCGGCTTATTAACCGCAGAAGCGGAAAAACGGTCTGGGTTTAAGTGAACAGTGGTTCACGAATTGGAAAGAGAAGAAAAATATTTTGGACTTCGGCTTAGGCGGTTTCTTGGGCGATTTTGAAGAGAATTCGAAGGGGCTTCATCAGGTATGAACTATTGGACTCGGATTATGTTTATATAGTGTAAAATCATGGATTGAACACTGAAATTTAAGGGATTAAATGCTAAAAATGGAGGTTAGGGCTTGAAACTTAAGAGAGCTTAAATTGATGATTTGAGGGGTCAAATGGACTCCGATTCTTGTGAGTTTGATATGTATAGACTCGTGGCGAGATAAGGATCGTTTTGATGTAAAGTTTTCTGGATTTCGAGAAGTGGGCCCGGGGCTCAGGTTTTGCTAATTTCGCGATTTTCGATATTTTTCGATTGGGTTATGTTTCTTTGGCACATTGTAACGTATTCGTTGTGGTTTTGGGCAGATTCGACGCGCGAGGAGGTCGATTCGAGAGGAAAGGGCATTGCGAGCTAGTCTTCGGCCGGCTAGAGGTGAGTAATAGATGTAGATGATAACCTGAGGGTTTGAAACCCCGGCATATCACACTGTGACGCTATATTGAGGCGAGACACGCATTCCATGACGAGTGCGGGGTCGATTGTGGCTTATTCCGCCCCGAACGATGTCCAAGCTGTGTGTTGGACTATAGATTGATTTGTAAACATCCTACTTGGATTGTTATGATATATTTGGGCTGTGTGCCGACTATTTGAATCCCTTGGGGATTATTATCACCGCTTCCATGATATTCAGCATGCTATATGATTTCAGTCCTGAGTTTTAAACAGTGTTTCGAAATACTTAGTCACCTTCCAAAGGTTTTAAAGACTTAAACGATAATTTCCTAATAATTGGAACTGAGAATTAAAAATCTGACTTTGATGTATAACTCACGTGCATATTCTGGACTGAGTGTGGATCGGGCTGCACGCCGCAGCGATGTCACGATGATATTGCGCTTGGGCTGTAGGAGCCCCTCCGGAGTCTGAACCCCCACAGTGAGCACGAGTACCCAAATGGATCGGGCTGTACGCCGCAGCGGTCATGTGCATTGCATTGCATTCATGCTTTGATGTTATCTGATTTATTTGATTCTGTTTTGTTGCCATTTCACCGTTAATTATGCTAAATTGTTAGTTTTAGCTTTACATTGTGGTATTTTCGAGATTTCTTACTTTCAGCCATTATATATGTCTATTACCACTGATTTGGAAGTACTCACTTTACTCCCTGCACCTCGCGTGCAGTTGCAGGTATCGTTCACCCGGTAGCGGGTTATTAGCGGATTGAAGATATTGTTATTGTAGCTGAGCAAAGTGACCGCCAACGTTCGCGGCACCGGATGTTGTCTTTTGTTTTCCAGAAATTTTACTTGTATATATTTATTGGCCTGTAGTTGTGTTAAGGTTTCCTTAGATGCTCGTGACTTGTGACACCCCGGTCGGGTAGTAATTAACAGTTTCTAATGCCATTAAGTTATATCTTCTATTCATTTATGT